AGTTAACTGTTATGCAGTAAGCATGCTACTGTTCAGCTTCCGCACTCCGCACAAACATTTGAATAGTGTACATTTTTCTAGGTTGACGTTAAAGCAATGCTATGTATGTTGCTGCCAGAGCATGTGAGCGGAGCGGAGCGGTGTGACGCTCCGCTACGTTTTCCGCTCTATGGACGTGCGCTCCACTCAGTCGCTCTAACCGCCCAAGCAAGCGCTCCGTTAAAATTCCGCTCACGCTCACCGTAAACCAATTCCCGCTCAGATCCCGCTCCGTTCTGTAAAGAACAAATTTGCGTGCATTATATTAGATTATAAATTACTGCTGCCTATATCTAGTTCTGTATTTAGGCCTATATACAGCTGTGTGTTAGCTTAGGTCTACAGTTTAACTGAGATGATTTAATAACTACGGAGCTCCGAATATAATTTGATTTAACAATTCGTTTCTACGATTTCAGCAGGTTTTATTATTTTTTAAATTAATTTATTATTATTTATTAAGTTTAAGCAATAATGATTTTAATAAGTAATTACGAAATATAATAATTCGTTCCACGATTTAGGCCTACTAAAACTAGGGAACGAACGAATGAATTCGTGGCAGCTAAGCCTAAACAAGAGAATGAATACTTAATTCGTGGCCATAATTTAGACTAAACGAAAAAAATAATTCTTAATTCGTGGCCATAATGTAGTCCTAGCATAAAAGAGAACTAGCCTATTCTAAATTCGTGGCCGTGAATTTGTCTGCATGTCATGATCGGGGCTCCGTACAACCGAATATAACCTTAGCCTACCTGTTTATTCATTTATTATGGTATGTAACTAGCTCACCTTTTGCTGCACCATGTTTGCATACATCTTCGTGCTTTCTGTAATCAATATGAATCTGTACTAACTTTAACAGTCTCCCCGCACTCCCTCTCAGTTTCTTCTCCCTGCTCATTCTTAACTTTGATTTTTACTTTACATTTATGTATAAGGCTTGCAACTTCGTTGAAACAATATCTGGACTCCATAACTGCTCTACTATTCTCGATCTCTACAGATTCTCGATCTCGAACAAGCAAATCACCAAACGGCATTCTGGGTTGAGCGAGCGGCGCTGAGCGTATTGAGCGAGCGGAGCGGAATCTTCAGAAAGGCGCTCGGCGCTCTTAAGGAAATATTACCTCCCCGCTCCGCTCACACTCCGCTCCGCTCACATGCTCTGGTTGCTGCTACTTACATGTTTCAGATGATAAGCCACATTTGAGGTCGATGATCGAAATGAACGTTTGGATGCCCTGACCGATGTGCAGTACTGTAATTACCACATAGACACATAGACTTAATGATCTGTCCATCACGGACTATGTGACTTAACTTCCTGTGGATTTTTTTTCTTTCTGTAATTAAGCGACTAATTTTGATCAACTAAGTCTCTTCTCACAAGATTGGTATCTTTTTAGATTTTGTATGGCATACCAAATCGAACGGTACCCAGTTTTCCCACTTTAGTGATTTTGGATATCGACCATTTTGAATTTTGTATTAAAATGCTGCATTTTACAAAATGCATGATTTTTTAGCACCAGTCCATGAAGCAGCCTATGGAGTTTTGGGCTGGTGCCACCTAATGGTCATAAGATACCACAAAATTTACAAATATGCTTACAGCTTACAGAATTTGGTTCTTCTTATTCCCTGGGTTCTACAGAATCCAGTGGTTTATATTTTTCGACAGTCCACCATTTTGCCTGTTGTCCATTTTGATTTAGGTCAAAAACCTAAATTTTCAAACTTTCTTATACTAGACCGTTTGTATAAACTTAACCAAATTTCACACAGATCATCATCAGACCGTGCTGACAAAAAAGTTATTAAAAGCTTTTTGATATCTCTAACCATTTTTGTAAAACTCATCGTCAATGATGATGCCAAAATAAATTCATTTCTGCAATGTCATACTGACACCAAACTTTGTGTGTGCCCTTGTCACCCCACACTGACCACACCATATTAATTTGGCCTCTATTGTGCTCAGCCCCTTAACTGCTGATTATTCAACTTGCCCCCCAACTCCTAGTTTACCAGAGAAACACTGTTCTTATAAAATAGCCCCCAGACTTTCCTAGAACAGCAGATGGACATCCCTAGAAAGCAAGCTCCAAATGTATGAGCAACAGAACATTAAGTATTTTTCTCTCAGCTCCTCAGTGCTGATCCCAAAACAACACAAGTCTCCTCTCAGACTCAAGCTTTGGTGGTTAGACAAAGCAACAAGAAAACTCCTGAAAGAGACATCAAAGAAAGAGAAGCTGTATTTGTTGTCAAATTGTCAAATGAACATAAAAACACAAGATCCCACCGGATTGTTACAACAACTATTGTATTTTTATAAGGACATGAGTCAAGTGTAAACAAAGAAATTAAAATCACATTTTACTTCCATAATGTGACTGAATGTTTTTTAAAGGACAAAAACAAAAACAAACAGCCAACATGCTACATTTTTGTGTAATCTTAAGTGTATTTTGTGTAAGTACACTACGAGGGATTTTGAGTGTTTTGTATGCTGGCATGATGGAGGGGAAGTCTCAGCACCTGGTATCATTTCCTGCAGTCTTATTATGTGACATCTGCAAGTTTCTCTGAATGGGATCCATGGTGTTTGGCGGAATTTCACAGAAAACGTCCCATCCATCTCTCTCCTTTTCCTTATCCTCCATCTTCTTGTGGTCTGAGTGGTTCTGCTCTAGAGGTTGGGGTTGTACAGAAGGATGGAGGTGGTCTTTGGGAAGGGGGGGTCTAATCTGAGGGTCACTCAGTTGTGTATTAATAGAAATGGGGTCTTTAGGGGAAGAGTCATTTTGAGGAGACACTCTAGAGTATTGCTGTTTAGAGTCAGTATCTATTTGTTGTGACTCTACATAGTGAACATCACTTCCTGCTACCACAGAGGACAATTCTAACGAAAGGTTTTCACTCCCACTAAACCACACAAGAACAGTGACACACCCACAAAAACAACATACATGAGCAAGACAAAACGGCACACCATGTCAAACAAAAAACATGCAATACAGGAAAGGGATATGGAAAGGAAAGTGTTATACAACAGAAAGGAGGGACAAAAACAACACATACACACACACAAACAATTACATTGTGTGTTTTCCATCTGGTGACACTATATAGAGGCAGAGTTCAGAATTCACTACTAGCTAGTTTGTGCTGTATACAGACAACCAATTCTCTATATTTTTTTTCATTTATTTCTATCGGTTCATTTTTGGAAACATAATTTCACATTGGATATTCAATTGTGTGTGCTCATTTCTGCCATTTTATTAATTGTTTGTTTTCATGTTTAGATTTTTTTTTTTAACTAATAAGTTATTAACACTGTTTAATCTAATCTTTAACAGTTATTACAATGAATATCCATTATTTTTTATTGTACAATGTAATGTTGTAGCAAAAATTGTTTTATTTACTGTAATATCACCCATTTAACATTTTTGGGGCAATAAATAATTATCAGTTATCAGCAATATTCACTAGTATTGAACAATATGAACTGCATACTACAGAAAGAGTAGCATGTTAGTAGACAATTCTTAAAGGGGTCCTATTATGCTCTTTTACAAAGTCAGAGTTAAAAAATAAATTGCAACCACTGTTTCCTGACATCATCCGCTTTCGGAAGCCCAAAGACGTTTGTTTTGTGACATTTGTGACGTGACATGTGGCCAAGTATGGTACCCATCCAAAGTGCACACACACAGCAGTGAACACACACACACACCGTGAACACACACCCGGAGCAGTGGGCAGCCATTTATGCTGCGGCGCCCGGGGAGCAGTTGGGGGTTCGGTGCCTTGCTCAAGGGCACCTCAGTCGTGGTATTGAAGGTCCGGAAAACAAACGCTGTAGTCCAAACGAGCCGTTCGTTGTAGTTCTTGAAAAGGGATTTAAAAAAATGAAATATCTCCCTTTGGAGTGGACTTTGAGATTTGTAACTTTCTAGATCTTTTTTATGCCCAAACATACACACTACACACTGACTAAAATTTTAAAAGTGAAAAAGCATAATAGGACCCCTTTAACATAATACTCCAAACAATAAATAAGGACATCAGTACAGATAGTACTGAAAACACTTACAGTTGCACTGAATGCAATTACAGGAGATTATCATTTGATACATTAGCATGATGTTTTCAGGTAGTGTGAATAAGCATTTTAATATCATATTGGAAAGTCCCTGTCTGTGTTCATAGTGTCAGTCTGATGGTTGTTCTGGATCAGAGCAGTCTGTAGCTCTTAGACAATTAATGCTCACATCTGGTTCAAATAAACCACCCCTCTCAAACCACAGCACTACAAAATCAAAACTGCAAAAAAAAAAAAAAAAGAAGATGACCAAAACCATGTAATCTCTTAGGTTGCCATAATATTGCCAATCACTTACAAATAAATTTTCATCCACTTATGAGGACACAGGGGAATTTTAGCCAAGATATCTGTGCTGTAAAAGTTTTTTTGTGGAGTTTGGCAAACAGTGATAGTGTCTGGAGTTTGCGTGCTTCAGGAGAGAAGATATGTATTTATTTATTTAGAGATTTAAGATATTTATTTATTTATTTTTAACTCTAAATCCCAGAAGGTTAGGATTTTGTTGCAGGTACAGTGAGTTATAACTGCATGAGACATTACTGATTTTATAGAAATAATCAAGATAGTGGAGAAAACTGTTCTCAGAAATGGAATTTGAATCTAACCAAATGCCTGATCTCTGACCTCCTTACACAAAAGTAATCATGTCTTGAGCATAGCAGTTTTCCCCTTTACTATTTATAGATGTCAGCTGGAAAAGTTTCAAAAAATCTTGGAGCCCAGACTGAATATTAATTTCTGTAGCAAGTCACTGTATCCACTGTACTCCGAATTTAAACAACATTACCAGATGGTAAAAACAATTGCTATATCAACATACCAGCATCTCAGATTAGATTTACCTGAAAGGTCTCTCTCCTCCAACAGGTGAGGTTGCATTACTCCAGCTTTTGCAGCTGTCATCTCTGTCTGTGTTAGGGTGTCGCACTGGTGCAGGTATGTATGAGCTCTGGTTACTCTTGTTGGGAAGATACTGGTTGAAAGGAATGGCAGTCCGGGGTTCACTGCAGGAAGTTCGCCGGACCAGCATGTCATCCTTGCGCACGTCCGGCATCTTCCTCTGGGGGGTGTCGCACTCCGAGTCACTGCCACGGCCTGCAGTGGAACAATCAGTGTGAATTAATTAGTAGTGTTACAATCATTGTTAATAATGTTAATATTAATACTGCACGTTAATAATAATTATTTTTATAACGGTATTGGCATAAGATGACATATTGGTAAAAGATCTAAGCTGGTAACTAAAAGGTTGTAGGTTCACCACCACTGGGTACACTGTCCCTGGCAAGAAAAAAAAATCCTTTAGATTTACTATTTATGCACTGAAATTTTGGTAACCTAAAATATTTAAACGCAACTGGAAAACAATTTAATTTTCAATTTCAGCTGAAATAGGATGGTCAAAATCATTGACCGGAACAGTGACATTTATTTAGAGCGTTTTGACTGTGTCAGAGTCTATTTTGTGCACACAATGTGGATAAGCTACAATAGGTAAACATGTCAAATTTGTTCAGCTGAACTACCAAGAGGCAGGTCATTGCCAAAGAATATTACTATGACTGGTTGAAGCTGAGAACATGACATCCTGAACAACATAAAGAGCTCAATTAATTAATAACCCAAATTTAATTGTTGAAAGTTTTGGAAAATTGTATTTCGGTGCATCACTAAGGTTTACACTGGATGAAGGATCTGAATCATATCTAGTAACCATTATATCATAAAATCTTGTGAAACACACTGGTAATCACACACAAACCAAAGTGTCATGGTGATCACTTATGCACAGACAACGAACTCACATTTTCACCAGAAAATGCCTGAAATCTAGTCTGTAATAAAGTTTTAGATATCTAATACAGGCAATGTTAAAATTCTAATATATATTGTATAACTGTAGAATTCAGTGATAAATAAATTAGATGCAGAAGTTTTACAGGGAACATTTTTACAGAAGGAAAAGAGGAGGAATACAATCCTCCTCTTACAAGAGGAATACAAACCATTATCTCAAGCACTCTGGAGTAGGCTATAAACAAACATATTTAAATCCACATTAGCCTGTATCTCCATTTAACAGTGATCCAGAAAATCATGAGGACCTGAGGTTTGAATAGGCTATTAACTAGTCTTTATGGAACTGATTTTTCAGAGTAAAAACTGTTTTCAGGAGCACCTGGAACAACCTACCACTGCAACTCTCCTCCTCACCTTCCATGTGTGGCCACATTCCCAGGCAAGGTGCTCTCCACATGTTAACCTGTCTGTTTGACAGCTTCTTTAGCTCAGGGTTAAACACACCAGTGCAGTACAGCAGTTTACACTACTCAGTTGGTCATCTAATTAGTGTTTATGCAGTCTAATAACTGAGCAGGAGAGCAGAGGGTTAGGTCCATCCATTTATTTTCTCTTAAGAAAGCTTTATTATTGTATATGCTGTTTTATTTATTTATTTATTTTAAACAATGTACTCTAAAAATGTCTAAAGCATAAACTTAGTGCTATTTTCATGGGACATTATGATTATAAAGTTCGTTAGAGGGTTATTATAGTTTACTAAAAGTAAAACCATAAAAAGAAAAAAAATCATTATTTGAAATCAAATAAAGGTTAGCTGAAATAAAATATTAAAACTAAATTTTTTTCAGCTTGTTGCCAAGGCAACATTTAATTTCTCATTTTAATTTAGTCTAACTTGACATACTAAAATAAATAATTTAAATAAATTAATAAATATAATAAATAAATAATAAAAATTAATTAAAAAGTTTATTTTTAAATTAACATTTTTAAATGAAGAAAATAAACTACTACTAAAAAAACTTCAAATAAATGACAAAACACATTTGTTAAAAATTACTCAAAATTACTAAAATTAAAATTAAAACAAAAAATATAAAAATGAAAATGAATTCAGTTTTATATCAGTGATACTAAAATTACACTGCTGGGGTACTGCATAGGGTTTAGAACAAGCAAACAAATCAAGTGTGAGCCACACTTACCACTTAATTAAAAAAAAAAAAACTGTTAGACAGTTGGAGTATTCTGCTCATGCACATGCTATGTACATTCTGTTAATATAACCAGGAAAGTTTTTATAGACATCTTATTAAAACGTTAACCACTCTTGGTATATTCTCATGAAGTCAACTTATGAGAAGAGTGACATTATAAAATAAATTTATATACAGGCAAGTTATAATTACATCTCCATGTGTACTTCAGACTCTCACATAAATATCCACCAGAACCATTTATATACTGTAACTGTCACACATTTGTTTAATACTTAAAAAGTCAACAAATGCACAAATGCTCTTCGAGCACATGTTTTGAGAGTGCTATACATGTCAAATGAGAAGAATTGCAAAATAAATTCCAACTTCAGAATCAGATACTTAAAGAGCAGGTCATATGGGTTTTTGAAAAATTATAATCCCCGCCTGCCCGCGAAATACGAACAGAGTCTGACCTGCCCACAAACACTTCCGCTAGTTAGTGTGTTTACATCATGTTGAGAAGACACTGTGTTTAAGGATACCACAGAAATACAATTCAAACCTTTTGTTGTGTGCATATCATTTTACCAAGGACTGCTTCTCTAATCTTGACTTTTATCTTCATTGGCTTCTAATCTTCTTAATTTGGACTAATAAGCTCTCTAAAGCACAACCTATAAGTACGATTGATACGTTATGTGTACATTTTCAACTGAGTGCTCAAAATATCAAGTTTCTGATAATTCGCTGTGAACCCACTATTTCCTAAGAATGTGTCAATTAATGTAGACTGACATTGTTCTAATTACTTCGTTTAATAATAAAGAATCTAGTGTAGCGCACCGATTTTATAATCATTGTGAAATTGCTGTTTATTTTGCTGCACTGGCAGTTATAGGGTTAATGCGGGAGAGACTAGCAAGTTAGTTAGGCTGGTGCGCCTGTGATACAGCTGTTCTGCGTTCTGATTAAAAGTTAAGACAGAGCGTCTTTTGTCTGTCGTTCTTCAAACATTAAAGTAGACATATTTTGGTTTACAAACTGTATTGTTTCATCAGTTAGTCATGTTAGCACTCAGCTAACGTATCCACCATTATTGTTTTAAGTGTTCACAGTTTAGCAGCTAAACTTTAGCTGTGGGCACGATTCGCTTGGATAAGCGTTTTTGTATTTTATGTCATTATTATAAGAACGGATTGGAGCACTATATTATTGTTTTATGCAAAGGTGCTTTGTCAATCATAGTGCTCGCTAACTTGCTCAAGGACTCCTCTCTGTGGCAATCACAACAGGCTTGGCCAGCTGACCAGTAAGAGCAGAGTAGGCTTATGGAAGGGAGGGGTTTGCTCCGAACTTGCTTCGAACGAATCATTTAGAAATCACTGGCAAATGACTCTAATATTAAATGTATATTCTGAAAAAATTACAATGTTTTCTGATCTTAGATGCATTTAAACCTGTTGTAGGGGACTCCAACACAATATTAGGACACTTTAAAATACCATATGACCTGCTCTTCAAATGTCAAAAACTCAGTTGCTCTGAGATGCGCTACAGACCCAATTGTGACTTTGTTTGGAAATATTTTCGTCGGTGAAGCAAAAGTAATAATGCGTATAAAAATATAACTTAAAAACAATATATTAGAAGTTTATAGCAAAATATTCATACACTGACAGATTGTTTAGTTGATAAATGCACTTCTTTGTTTGCGTGTTTAGGCTTTTCTAAGGTATATCTTTACGCCAATAGGTGGCGCCAAGCGACTGTCTTTATAAGTCATTCTAAATTTATTCATTGAGTCATTCATTTTCAAACCATTCGTTCAAATCACTGATTCATTTCGCGATTTTGTGTAGCTTGTCAGTGAATTACGGCTCTGTGTAGTAAATGCCGCTCCATCTGAAAGTATGTGCTGGAGATTTACTACTAATCACAGGAGCGACTTTACTGACGAGATGCTCAAAAAAACCCAGTGGGCTCCCCCAAAGTCCACGGTATAGTTTGAACACTGGGCTTATGGAAGGGAGGGGTTTGCTCCGAACTTGCTTCGAACGAATCATTTAGAAATCACTGGCAAATGACTCTAATATTAAATGTATATTCTGAAAAAATTACAATGTTTTCTGATCTTAGATGCATTTAAACCTGTTGTAGGGGACTCCAACACAATATTAGGACACTTTAAAATACCATATGACCTGCTCTTTAAGGTCAGGAATCGGATACTTATTTAAATTTTAAAATTAAAATTTCGATTCGCCTATCAATTCCTGTGTGCGCATCTTTTTTTAGGTGGCGAAAAGGGGCTGTTAAAAATTTATTTGTTTTTGAATCATTCATTGAAGAGATTCATTCAAAAATACTGATTCATCCAGTAATGAAACAAATAAATCTTGAGTGTGTCATTGAATCATTCCATTCATAAATTCCATGAGATTTTGTTTAGTTGTCTAATATTTTTTCTTCAAAATTGTGAGAGAACTACAACCTCCATTTAAAAAAAAAAAAGTTCTCAATTTATCCAGAATCATGCAGCTCTATTTTGCACACACAGCTCTTAATCGGGTCCAGTTTTTATGTAGCTTGCTGATTTTTGTTCATGGCATTGAGCTGCAATTAAATGATTTGCAAAAAGAGACACAGAATAAATATGTGTGATATCCAAATGTTTGACTGATATCTAAATGTTTTGACATTTTTTTTAACCACACTGGAATCGAAACTGGGAATCAATAAGAATCAGAATCGATAAGCAAAATCGGAATTGGAATTGTTAAAATTCAAACGATACCCAACCCTAGTCAAAAGCAAATAGAAATTACAATTACTGCCACTATCTTGTCTACAGTGGATACAGTATACAGATGCACGTTTGCTTTCTGACACAGCCCACATGCTTGAGTCTGTCATCAGGACAAATGGAGTGAAAGAATAGTCGCTTTGACACGTTTGGTTCAAACAGCTGGTTTACATCTTTGTACAGATATCAGAAAGTTCCCAGCGTAAGGAACAAGTGGATAGTTTATTTTTAATGGCATCCCGGATCATGTCAGAAGATTGTTCGGAGTATTTTGTTTTGCAAATGAG